TGTGAAGGTAAACAGCTGGGAAATAAATCGCATGTTTATTTTAGATCTGTGTGGCAGCAGCAATATACCGTAAATAAATCAGTAAATCCACTGCTCTCTTGCCTCGTCTGAGGCTGGGACTGTAAATAGGGTTCTGTGCTCGTCTGTGCAGCCAAAGACAGAACATTTAGCATGTTTTGCTCAAACTTTCACCATGGCATTAGAGCTGGTACACCGTTGTTGCTTGCGAAATCATAATGACAGCGCCGTGAGTGGAAGTTTACAGATTAAGGGGAGGTAATATTATAATGAGATCCCTTTGCCACGTCACCAAAGGAGCGAAATCAGACGCGCTCGTGTTCTCAGAGGCTTGCAGAAAAAGGCTTCCCAAAACAAAGTTACTAGGTTAATCTTTTTCACGTTTCCTTGGTTGGTAGATGCACCAGGGACCTGATTATAGCACTTAAAACCTGGAAAAGTCAGATTTTCATGATATGTCACCTTTAAGATAAGTCGTTTTCTAAAAAAAAGTATCAAAATTAAGTGACTTTATGCTTAAAACAATATAAAACCATAAAGAAAAATATCTGCCAATGGGGTAAGAAATTTTACTTTAAAAAAATTGCTTTAAAAAAAACTTACTTTAAATGAAAAACAAGTTTATTGTTTCAAGTTTAAAGCATAAAGTCACTTAGTTGTGATTATATTTTTAAAAAACTAGACTTATCTTAAATCAAGATACAGTTACTTGAGAAGCAAACTGACAAGTCTGGTTTTCTGAAAAATGTGTCCAAATTAAGTGACTTTATGCTTAAAAATTAACTAAATTAATTTAAAAGGAAAACAAGTGTATTGTTCTTACCCCATTGGCAGGCATTTTTTTCTTTTTATAAGTCATTAATTTTGATACATTTTTCAGAAAACAAGACCTGTATTATGTCATTTTGCTTCTCATTAATTGTACCTTGATTTAAGAATGCTTAGATATTTGTACTGGAAAAACAAGTCAAAAATACTGAATTTTTTCTTTTCTTTTTGCATTTGTAGAAAACTTGACATTTATCATTTAACATAAATATATATTTAATATATACATATAAAATAATGCATTATTTGAAAAGCATCATGTTCTCTTTTGAAAGTCATATTTTTAAAAAAATGTCTGATAAATGTCTTTAAATCAGCAGTAGGGCTGTGCAATATAGCGGACATGCTAGCCAAACCGCACCAGAGACTCACCAAGTACCCTCTGCTCCTGAAGACCATCCTGAAGAAAACTGACGACCAAACCTCCAAAGATGCTCTCAACAACATGGTTAGACATTTAAAAAAAAAAAAAGGCTCAGGTAGCCTTTTTTTTTTAGTGTGTTAGACCATCGAATATGCTAAATGTTTGTAAATGTACCCAGGTGGCATGTGTGGAGAGCTTCATTAACAGCGTGGACTCTCAGATGCGCCAGAAACAGGAGCAGCAGAATCTGGCCACCATTTCGGCTCGAGTGGAGTCATACGAGGCCGCGGAGGGAGCCAGTGAGGAGGTGGAGAGGGTAAGAACTGTGTACAGTACAAATAATTAATTAGCTAGCCTTTGAATTAAAAAAAAAGATGTATCATTACAGTACAATATTATGGATTTCATAGAAATGTATTGTTTAACTCTTCAATCTTCCCTCATTTCTTCTTGCTGTATGTTTACAGGCTCTAAAGGAGTTCAACCGAATTGACCTGACCGCACCGATGATTGACACTTCACCAGAAGCGATCAGGCAACTTCACCTGGAGGGGTCGCTCCGCATGAAAGAGGGCAAAGACAGCAGGGTTAGTTCAGATTCAATCATTATCTTCAATTCCTCCAAATTTCAGATGCATTTGGAAACATTTGCAATGTAGTTTTTTTTTTTTTTGTATTTATTGTAAGCAGTAAAACTGTCCTTAAAATTAAATTCCAAACCTGTATTATTTTTAGTGCCGTCAAATGATTAATCGCGATTAATCGCATCCAAAATAAACATTTTTGTTTACATAATATATGTGTGTGTGTGTACTGTGTATATTTATTATGTATATATAAATACACACACATACAGTACAGGTGCATCTCAATAAATTAGAATGTCGTGGAAAAGTTCATTTATTTCAGTAATTCAACTCAAATTGTGAAACTCGTGTATTAAATAAATTCAATGCACACAGACTGAAGTAGTTTAAGTCTTTGGTTCTTTTAATTGTGATGATTTTGGCTCACATTTAACAAAAACCCACCAATTCACTATCTCAACAAATTAGAATACTGCATAAGACCAATAAAAAAAAAATTTTTTGTGAATTGTTGGCCTTCTGGAAAGTATGTTCATTTACTGTACATGTACTCAATACTTGGTAGGGGCTCCTTTTGCTTTAATTACTGCCTCAATTCGGCGTGGTATGGAGGTGATCAGTTTTTGGCACTGCTGAGGTGGTATGGATGCCCAGGTTTATATTATTTATTATTTATTGTTAATTCTCATTTATTGTTGACTCATTTAATTTAATATTATTTATCTGTATATTATTTATATTACAGATAAATATATTTAATATACAAACATAACATATTTTTCTTAAATATTAACATGTATGTGTGTGTATTTATATATACATAATAAATATACACAGTACACACACATATATTATGTGAACAAAAAATGTTATTTTGGATGCGATTAATCGTTTGACAGCACTAATTATTTTCTTTCTGCTGTGGAAGACAAAAGAAGATATTTTAAAGAATGTGGGTATCTAAACGGTTTAGTTTCCCATTGACTTACATTGTATGGACAACAAATGGAATGGAAGATAATGAGAACCAAAACTATTTGGTTGCCAACATTCTTCAAAAAAAAATGTTCTTTTGTGTTGAGCAGTAGAAATAAATGAATACCGGTTTTAAATTGACCGAATTTTTATTTTTGGGTGAACTGTCCCTTTAAGTTTCCTGAAAGTTTTAATATTACTTGTAATGGAGTATTTTAGTTTGTCATGTTTCACATGTATTTGTCTTTTCTTGCGTAGATGGATGTTTACTGCTTCCTTTTCACTGATCTGCTGCTGATCACTAAACCAGTGAAGCGTTTGGAGAAGGTGAAAGTGATCCGACAGCCTCTCCTCCTGCATAATGTGGTGTGCAGAGAACTCAAAGATACAGGTGAGCGTTAAACTGACAGACTGAGCCCACTTTTAACTACAGCATGCAATTAATATGACAAAGGAGCAGAAACAAGCTGCTTAAGATCTCAAGAGAACGTATTGTGAAGTTTTAGATTTAATAGTACGTTTCTGATTGTCTTTTCTTTTCCTGTCTTAGGCTCATTTGTCCTCATCTACCTCAATGAGTTCAAGAGCGCTGTGGCTGCCTACTCTTTCCAGGCCAACAGCGCCACCCAGGGGAAAAGTTGGACTGATGCGATTTGCAAAGTCCAGGTAAAATCATACTTGTCCATTACCAATATTGATCTCTGTTTGACATTTCTGATATAAGTGTTCGCTCAGTAGAGAAGTTTGCTGATTTAGCTATTTTGTACATGCATTTTAGAATCAGCTGCAGCGGTTGCGGTCAGAGGAAGCTCGCCGACAGAAGGCTTGTCTGAAGAAAAGACTAGTGGAAGATCAGGAGGAAGATGAGGACAGCTGTAACTCCACAGCTAGTTCACCTCAATTTAGACACAAAGATCAGAGCAATAGGTATTTTATTTAATTTATTTTGTTTTGTTTCAATAAATACATGATTTTATTTTATTTATTAATTAATATTTTAATAAATAATATTTAATCACATTAACTTTTATTTTTAAATAATATATAAATGTTATTAAATATTTTGTTATTTTAAAATGTGTTTTATTTCAATAAATACATTCTTTTTATTTTATCAATTAATAATTTAAGAATATTTTATATTTAAATTATTTTCATATTTTAATGTAATTAATAAAAATTACTTATAAGATGAATAACTGCTTTCGTATATGTTCTAATTTTTATATAATATAATGTATAAAAACATATTATAATACATTATTTTTTTCTATTTTCTGTAAACCTGCTTTGTAAACAAACTAATTAAACAAATTGAATATCAAGGTTGACTCATTTAATTTAATTAAAAATACATTTCATTCATTAGAAAAATAATATATTTGATTTAAAATATTCTGACAATTATTATATTATATTATATTATATTACATATTGTAATTACCATTTTCTCCTTTTTCTTTTCTTTTTTTAAATTTTATATTAATGCAACACTATCAATTAGTTGACCTGTTGGGCATTTTGTTTTACAATAAATGAACTTACATTATTGTTTCTCTGTCTTAGCCAATCAGATGGCTCCACAGAAACCCTGTCGGTGATGGATATGGATGAGTCTGGATCATCTTTGGATCCTTCTACTCTTCAGTCTGACCTAGGTGGGCATTCAGACCATGATGCCGGTCTGTCTCAACTCCCTGACTCTGCCGTCCCACAGCGGGCCACAGACTTTGAGCCCCATCCAGATAGCCAGGAGGGCTCAGACCTGGACCCACAATGCTGTTCCATGTCCATGGATAGCGCTTACGGGACCCTTTCACCAGAGTCCATGGTGGAAACCCAGAGTCGAGTGGCCCCGGTAGAGGAAGACGACTCCGAGGACGACAAGGAGACGATGGGTGGCGACGGGGAAGATGAGGAGCAAGAAAATGCAGAAGAGGAAGACGATGAGGAAGATAAAAGCTCATTCGGATCTCAGAACTCAGTGGCGCTTTCTCTAAAGCCCCGGCGCCGACCGCATGTCCAGTGTCGCCTGCCGTTTTTAGAGAGACTCGCCGTCAAATCCCGTTCCGAGGACAACCTGCTGTCCACAGTTCACCATGATAACCGTAACCACGGTGTCACCAGGGCAGCCACAGAGTGCACAGGAAGTCGGCACACGTGGGAACAGAGGGTTAAATATTTAGAAGCGCAGCTCAGCAGGAGCCTGACGGAGCTCAACCCTGCTGAATCAGACGAGTGTCTCCCGACTGATCCAGAGACGGATGAAAGTCAAAGTCTCACGCGCAGCTTGCCCTCAGGCATGCTTTTGGACACATTGAGACGAGCCAAAATTGCACATGAGGCTGGTAGCAACCAGATTCCCTGCAGTGCGTCAGACGGGGAGCTCTCGCCGCCCAGTGGCCTGGAGGGAATGGGCCGATGTAAGAGACCCCAGCAGCACAAAAAACTCACACTGGCCCAACTCTACAGGATACGCACCACACTGGTGCTCAACTCAACGCTCACAGCCTCGTAAGTGTCACGTTTGTGAGCGCATATGTATTTAAATATTGTTTTTTTTTTCAGTCTCAGAAATCACAAACTGTTTATTTCGTAATTAGGTTATGATTATATTAGTTGGTGTTTTATTATATGGAGGAACTAAGATATAATCAATTTCTGTAGCTCTTGTTACAAAATAGCTTGATCCAAAGCAGGTTTACATAAAACAGAAAAATTAAATATAGGGTAAAAATATGGTAAAAGTTATTATCATATAATATAATCTATCATGTAATATAATTTCTCTTATTTATTTATTTAATTTAATAAATTAAATGTGCTTACCTTTTTAATTACATTTTCACACTTTTATTTTATTGTAACATTAGACCTTAGTATTCAGTTTTACAATATAGAATTCTCCTAAATTACAGAAAATAGAAAAAAGAAAAATGTAATTTGTAAAATTATTTTTATAATATAATATAATTTAGTTTATTGTAATTAAATCAAATTTTTTAAATAAATATATTTTTTTTATTTAATTAAAATTGTACATTTTTATTTTATAACATTGTAAAATATTTTTTTTTATAATATAATAAAATATATAAATTCTATAATTTTATATGATATAAAAAATGTTACACCATATAAGATAGTAGTTGTTCATCTCAAATAGTAATTTTATATTGGTAATCAATTAAATCAAATTTTATAAAAATAGGAAAAATACCAGGATGATTGATTGATTGATTGATTTATCTATCTTTTTATTATTTTTTTATTGGTAAGAGGCTGTAATGTAATTTGAAAATATTTACCCATTTAATTTCTTTTTAATCAAATAAAATAAAAAATCTCTTTTTCAACACTTTCTCTTCCCTCAGAGAAAATGTTGGGCTCGGATTGACATTGGAACATTTTGTGTTGTGAAAAGCTCAGTTTTCTGACTCTTGTCATCTTTCTCCTCAGAGAAGTGTAGCATCTTTCTGGCACAGACGTTTTGGGACAACGTTGTGAGACTGAATTCTGTGGGACACAAATGCACTCAACCCAATGAGCTCTCCAGCTGCCCTCTCGCTCCCTCTTCCAGTCGGATGGATTCCTCCGCGTGTAGCTTTCCTGTCATTTCTCTGCGGAAGGGGACGTCCACAGACTCATTAAATCCTTGCACTTTGTAAAACTTCTAAAGAGGTCAAAGCTTTTGGTGAAACTGCGCCATTATCAGAACGACAAAATGATCAAAGAAAAAGTGCGACCGGAGCCCTTACCGTGGGACGTTTGAGGTTTCAACGGGTCACATGATGCCGAAAGGAAGTAGAAATGAGAATATGAGAATAAAACACAGCATCTTGGATTCTTTAATCACCCTGTTTGCTTTCTAAGAGTATTTCTGCTTCGAGGAAGGAAGTGATTCATGTTAACTGCACTACTGTTATGTGACTGTGTGTGTTTATGAATGAGAACGTGTGCGAATTCACATGCATTTGTGTATGACTGAGTGAGTTATAATTCTCGACCTAAACAATTGTTTGACTTCAGATAACTTGAGTAGCCACTACGGCACGTTACGCATTAATTTAGGACCAGTGTTATGTTCATATGGCAGGGATACTTCTGTCATGCAACTGCTTATACTATTGAATCTTTGGGTTGACGCAGCTTATTTAAGTTATACATGAGCACATAAAACCCTTTACTGTATATTGTGTTGTGTGGGTCAAGTTGGATTCATAAACGTGTGAATAATATCCAAAATGCTTCAGCAGATGTGTAGTTAAAGGCAAACAGACTGAAAAAAAAATCTGTGTTTTGGTTTATAACATTTAAGGATTCAGGAAGCGTCGCCTGACACTAGATGAGCACTTGTTAGAGATCATCTGACACTGAATAGGGTGTTTGGTTTAAGTGAAAGCTCATGTTAGTTTTCAAACATTAACATATGTATTGATGATTTATTGTTTGTTTTTTGTAATCTTTTGATTTCACAGATACTGCTGTTACCCGAAAGGTTAAACTGAAACTGCCTGGTACTTTAACTAAACCAAGCCCTTCTGAACTCCCTTTTTGAAAAAAAGAAACAAAAACAAAACACCCTGCCCAAAGTAAATATGGTGTATTATATGTTTACTTATTAGGCTTTTTGTGTTTGTCATATTTATTGAGCTTGCATTGTTTTATATATAAAATATGGTCTATAATAGTATCATTTCACTTTACGGTTGTATTTTTTGTTTTGTTGTCATAATTTGTTCATTGTCATTTGTTGAATTAATTTTGAAATCTGCTAAGAACCAAAATAACCTTGTTTTCCCATGTGAGGGAGTGTTCCATAAATGTCTTTCAAAATAAAAGACATCTTTCAGTATTTGCGGATTTTGATGTGACTTATTAGTGACTTCTGTTGTGTTTAATATAGATCGATAGATAGATACAGACAGAGATAGATAGATAGAGACAGACTGATAGATAGATAGAGAGACAGACAGATAGATAGATAGAGACAGACAGATAGATATATAGATACAGACAGATAGATAGATAGATACAGACAGATAGATAGAAACAGACAGACAGACAGATAGATAGATAGAGACAGACAGATAGATATATAGATAGACAGATAGATAGATAGATAGATACAGACAGATAGATAGAAACAGACAGACAGACAGATAGATAGATAGAGACAGACAGATAGATATATAGATAGACAGATAGATAGATAGATAGAAACAGACAGACAGATAGATAGAGACAGACAGATATATAGAGACAGATAGATAGATAGATAGATAGATAGATAGATAGATAGATAGATAGATAGATAGATAGATAGATAGATAGATGTGTATATATACACACATACATACACATAAAATAAATATAAATAAATTGATGGAAATAAAATAAATGATTTGATAACAAATTATTTAAATAATACAATTAGCAGTACAGTACTGTAGTGGGTAGGAATAAACATTTGGTAAAAACATGTTTAATGTTGTTTTGAATTTTATATTCATCAAATAATCTTGTGTGTGTGTGTTTAATTAAAATATGCCACTAGAACATGTAAAAAAAAAAAAAAAAGT